ATACGTTTTGCAATAAATCCTAATAAATTTTTGTGTTTGTTTTGGTAATGTAGTAGGTATTGGACATTGAATCTCTCCCCTTATCCTGGTCAAGCTCAGAGCTGGATACACAGCATATTTGAAAACTTTCAAGGGAAAACTTGACTATTAGTATGCAGATACAATATGTGAGGACTAACAGCAGCCATTATAACTATTGAGCAGATTTAATGTATTAATTGTGTTGTATCTTCTTATCTATCAGGTTGTATTTCCTCGACTAGCATGTCATGGTAACTTATCGGACTAGTATTAGTTGCAGTCTATCTAATCATGAAGTTACAAGATCTTACCGGAAAGTGGTCATGCAGGCAAATCATTCTAGCATGTAATGTCGATCAACTTCCTGCAAATATACTTGTGGGCTAACTGAAACGTGAGTATTGCATTGTAAGTATTGGGATCCTCCTTCAAGTTGTATGTCATTGTTCCCTCAGTAGCATGGCGTGAGTCAATAGAGCATTCGACGGTTTGCGTTCTGATTTACTACGTCTACATCGTACTCTTTCGATGAATCGGAGGGCTCGAGTATCCGAGAGAAGGGAGGAAGGGATTACTCTAATCCAAGTACAGCATACTGTTGAAGTATGACAGTTCATTCGAAAGGACTACATCCAGAAAAAAATACGACAAAATTTGATCATCCGACTACATCTCATCATCTCATCAACTTATAAAAACCTTACAATTTAGACGTAGGCTTCCCAATTGCTCCAGAACGAACCAATTCAGCCAATGTTGTACCGGAAATACCTAACTCGTTCAGGATTTCCTCGGTATGCTGTCCTGGCTTCAATAACGTGAATTCTTTCGGTGGGGCTGGCTGAGATTCGGATAGAATAGGGTGAGGTGCGGGTATGGGAGAGCCTGCTGCTTTCGCTGCTTCTTCTGGTGACAATACTGGGACTGCGCATGCATCGGACCCTATAAACAGAAGGATTTAAGAAATCGCATACCGGAGTTTTTAGCGACAAGTCCTTGCAAAAGATTCTTACCGTGAAACACACTCGCCCATTCATCACGCGTCTTCGTCCTGAATCCTCCATCGAGAAAGGCACGAAAACGTGGCCAGTGCTCTTCGTTAGTCAGCATCTCCATCGTGGGCCTCCAATCTCCTTGTTCCTTCAAGTAACTCTGAGGGAGCGCATCCACGAACTTTTCAATAAAAACCCGGAAGAATTGCGCCTCAAGACACCCAACAGTCATCCACCTCCCATCCGCACACGTATACACATTATAATATGGTGCACCGCCATCCAATATCTTCGTTCCTCTTCCATTCTTCCAATTCTCTTTAGCGTTATCGTTTGGATTCCCGAAGTTAAGGTCATTGGGAATGAGGGAGTGGAGGAGAGGGAATGATGAGACGTATCGTGAACCGGAGACCATGTCTGTTTCGACTATTTGGCCTTTTCCTGTTGTGTTGCGGGATTGGAGGGCGAGGAGGATGCCGAGTGCGCAGGTTAGGCCGCCGCCTGCGAAGTCTGCGAGTAAATTTACAGGGAAGGCCGGTTTTTCGGGGGTTCCTGGAAGCATCTAGGGTAGGAATGGACATAGATGAGAAGATAATTTTTTGAAACTTAGTTTGATAGTGGTGATCTTGCTTACAGAAAGAGCGCCACTGAGAGCGATATAGTTGATGTCGTGGCCTAATAAAAGTTCAGTCTCTTGGACTAATGATTACAGTATACATTCCTTACCAGCCACATCCCTATACGGACCTTGCGGAGACTAATATTAGATACAACGGGAAAGGACGGAAAGGACTAACTGCACCATTTCTCGTGAATCTGAATATAAATGATCGTCAATAAACTCGATGTAAATTAAACCTTAGAGATGACGGACCCATGAATCCTTGCGTAAATAAGCTTCTTGTTCAGTCCAATCTCTTCGTTCAAGAATACATCTGGACCAAGTTCCAATTTCTCAAGGACACCTGGTCGGAATGGATCAATGAGTACGTCTGCGCGTGAGATGAGCTCTAGGAGGAGTTCTTTGCCAGCAGGAACCTTGGCGTCGATGGCTATTGAGCGCTTTCCACGGTTGAGGACGTCGTGAGGCAAGGTACTGCTAGTGCGATCGATACGGATGACTGAGGCACCGTAGTCGGCGAGGACAAGGCCTGCGAATGGACCAGGCGCGAGACCTGCAAACTACAGACATTGTTAGATTCGGCATGACGTAGCAGCCCTAGCGATATTTGCACACCTCAACGACTTTAATGCCTGCTAACGGTGCTTTTGACATGACCTGCGTTGTCGTCGCCTGAGAGAAAGCGAGGATAACATATGCTTCCTTGTGTCATGATTGTTGAAGCCGGCAAGATTACCTACTGTACTGATTATGGATTTCGGACGGACACAACACGGAACGGACAGGTCGCGTGATGTCATCGCGTAAGACGCGTTCTCAGTCATCCATGGCGTGCCTTCATTTCTTATTTATTCAATGCTCGTCCGTTCTCACCACCACTATCCTTGTATGAAACCAACCCTCAGCACACTTACACGCATGCCAGTCACAGTAGCATCAACAGCAAAGCTCCCAATCTCTGCACTCCCACTCCCGCCCAAGTCCCACATCCTCACGCACAATCTCACTCCCGATCCTAGGACTGGTCACTCAGCAAGGGAGTTCCGGGATGTCTTGATTAACTCTCCGAGCGTGCAGCGTAGAGCACGCTTGGTCGACCCGTCCGCTCACTTTTCTCGTGTTACGCCGATGAACCTGCCTTTTCCTTACCGCATACAGGCTCCAGAGAACGAAACTATAGAAGATCAGGAGGAGTTTGTAGAGCGTTGGTTGAGCGTACATGAACCCTTAGATGAACGATCTACTGCCGCTGCAGCTCAGTCCATTGAGGCGAAGAGTAATCTAAAGAAATATTCGCGGGACAAGCGAGAGGTCAAACGGGAGCTCATTGCACTTTCGGATTCGTGTCTCCGAGACTGTGTCCCTCAGTTGGATGTCGGAGATGCTTTCATACAGCTCAGTACTCCTAGTTTGAGTGCTGGAGAGGAAGACGGAGATTCAGGAAGTCAAGTGTCTGTAGAGCAGAAGGCCGTTCGAGAAGAGCTTGTAGATATTCTTACTGGTCACTCGGTTCTTATGTCTACGGACGAAAACTCGGAAGTGCCATACACACCATGGTCGCTTCGTTACAGTGGTCATCAGTATGTATTTATGTGCAATTCACCGTCCTGCTGACTCTGATGAATTCCGAAGGTTCGGAAATTGGGCAGGCCAACTAGGAGATGGTCGCGCCATTTCAATCCGTTAGTGCATTGATTCCTCGCGTAGCACATAATTAACTAAGTGATTATAAAGTGGAAGTTCCCAACCCGTCCGATCCTGAGAAAATATACGAGCTGCAGCTAAAAGGTGCAGGACGAACTCCCTATTCCCGATCTGCCGATGGTCTTGCCGTACTCCGATCGTCTATCAGAGAATATCTCTGCAGTGAAGGTAGCATAAATCATTCCAGAGACCCATAGCAGGCGCTGATAACATGAAACTGCCAGCGATGCATGCCTTAAGAATCCCCACGACACGCGCCTTCGCATTAATACATCTCGAAGACTTACCCGTCATGCGCGAAACAGTCGAGACCGCATGCGTACTAACACGCGTTGCACCATCGTTCCTGCGAGTCGGGTCTTTCGAAGCACTTAACCCACCTCGTAATGTTTTCTTTCTCGGTGGTGGGCAACAGCCTGCTAACTTTGACGCACTGAGCATCCTCGGCGAGTGGGTTGTCCGCCGTGTACTTCGTCTGGGACTCGAAGAGCGTGCGCCGTGGGGGAAGGCGCTGCTTATGGAGACTGCGCGCCGGAACGCGAAGATGGTTGCGGCGTGGCAGGCTTATGGGTTTATGCATGGTGTGATCAATACTGACAAGTTCAGTTGTCTATGATTTCCTCTCCACTGCTCCTAAACCAATTGATTTGATTTACCGACAGTGTTTCGATCATGGGACTCACTATCGACTATGGGCCATATGCATTTATGGACATATTCAGCGCAGGTCACATATGCAACCACTCTGATGAGGAGGGACGATATGCCTACAAGGTGCGTCGGAGTTGTCGGCTAAATTGATTAGGCCTTGAACTAACTTGACGACAACGATGAATATTTAGTATCAGCCAACAATGATGTGAGCTCTAATTTCAACATATCTTCCGAGCTCTACATTTGATAACACGCTCTCCCACAGTCTATATGCACTCCGTGCACTCTTGAACGCACTTTCTCCGCTTATAGGAGCCGAGGCTGAGCTTGGTACGGCTGTGAAAGCTGGCTGGGCTGACGGAGTATCTCAAGAAAAGATTGACGAATGGGCGAAGACAGGTCTCGAGCTCGAGGGTGAGATGGTAGCTGAGACGCAGGCTGTTATGGAGATAGAGCATTGGGCGTTGTTCAGAAAAGTTTGTGTATTCGGATTACTCATATAAAGGCTATGCTGACGAGATACCTTTCCGACTTTAAATTCATTTTAGCGCCTTGGACTCCGAACAGAAGACTCATCAGATCCCGACGCGCTTATCCGCCCACTTCTGACTCTCCTCGAAAGGCATAAATTAGATTTCCACTCGACGTTCCGTCGACTCTGTGCTTTCCGACCTGCGCTCTTAGCTTCGGATAGACCGGATGAGTTGAAGGCTTTCATCGCGTCTGTGGCCGCGAACTCGCATGAAACGAACGCGGATGATGTGGAGTTTACGAGAGATTGGTGTGAGTGGCTTGCGAAGTATGCGGAGAGGGTTGAAGGTGAGGTGGATAAGGGCGTGTGGGCTTCGTCTTTGCCAAACGGAGGAACAAACGGGGATGCGAATGCGAATGGTACAGTGAATAGAGATGGCAAGAACGTGAAAGATGTTTGGAAGATCCGAGAAGAAGAGATGCGTCTCACGAATCCGCGTTTCGTACTCCGTCAATGGGTATTGGAGGAGGTCATTAAGCGAGTGCAGGACGATGTGTCGAGTGGGAAACGCGCACTTGCGAAGGTTCATCAGGTTAGTCTTCACCGTTAGTTATACTCATATAACCCCTAATTCCTTGTGCGGGGTAGATGGCAACTCACCCATTCGATCCATGGGGTGCAGAAGGCGAAGACGAATCCAAGTCTACGTCTAGTTTGAGCGCGGAAGAAAAGGAAGAGCGGAGGTTCTGTGGACTTGGGGCAAAGAAATTTGTTGGGTTCCAGTGTAGCTGCTCAAGTTAGAAGATTTTCTTTCTCTTTGCTTGACTACACAGTTATATAAAGTAGATATGCTTGCTAAGGACGTTTAGTAAAGTTATGTTGTAATGTGAAAGCTGGGATGGAATAGCTGAATATTGATGGTTGCTTAGTAAGGATGCCCTTATGGTCTGGTGGATGTCATTGTTGCACACGTAGAGCATAAGTAGCACAGAACTTGGCAGGACGTGAGTGAAATCGCCACAAGGATATTTGTAACTTTAATAGCCTGAGCACTCCGAGATGAAGGCATGTATAAAAATATGAAATTTACAAGATATTTGTAGCTCGAAATATTAGATGGGACTCAGACACTTGCAGGCATGACTAAATATGTTAAGCACGCCAGGCCCGTACGTAGGAGCGTATAAAATTAATATAGATATTGTATGATGGATGCAGATATAACATATTTATATACAATAACTACGAAAAAGCTTAATAAAGATATAGATTGCCTTCTTACACTGAATAAACAAATAAACTATCAACATAAGAAAGGAGCAAGCAAAACAAACAAACAAATAGAGGAGCAAGCAAGTCGAGTTTAGTTAGGACGGTAGTAAATATGGATATACAATTATCATTATCATCACCATTACCGTCATCCCTTAATATTCATGTGTTAGTGAGTGGTACGGAAGACCGAAGATTACGATCGAGAGGGTTTCCATCCATGCAGTCTCGGAACGGAGAGTCTGATAGCAGTATGCGTTTAGACCCGATGTGATTGATCTACGCGAAGAGGATCTGCGTGAATCCACAACCAACGCTTTCGGAATCCCTTTGTCCCCTCTGTCCATATTTAGGTGGTGGAGGGAGCAACAGAGCGGACGACGCGTTTGCGGAGCAAGTCGACTGTTGAAGACATGAGGACGTCTGTCTTGACGAGGACTTCAACTTCTCTTCCCTCCTCTTGTTTCTGTTCATCTTGTTCATCCTGGTGCGCAGCGTGACTCTCGTGATCCGCAGTGGAATGCTGCTGTCGATTACGAGGTTTCTGACGTTCGGTGTGACTCGATGCTGAAGTTGGCGTGGATGGTGAAGATGAGGAAACGGTGCTGAGTTTGATGGTGTATGTTGATTTCGCTTCAGATCGTGAATTGGTAGTGCGGATGGCTTGGGCTTGAGGTTTGGGTACACGGCGACGTTCGCGTTGGAGGTCTTCCGTGCTGTGTTGTATACGCGGTCCTCTTGCTCCTTCTTGTTCGTCTTTTCGCTTTGCGCCGCGCAGGACACGCCGAAGTCCGAATCCGAGAGAACACATAACCGTTTCGTGTGTAAGTGCGTAGCCTTCCTCATCCACAGTAATGTGTACCCTTGGACTTTCTACGAAAATATCCTCTTCTCCATTGCCTTCGGTATCCTCTTCCTCTTCTTCGCTATCGTCATCCTCAGTCTCCTTGTCGCTATCTTCCGCGCGCCAATATCGAGTATTCGTATCCGCATATGTCGTCGCCGACCTCGCGTGACTTCTCGTCTTGCTCTTATTCCGTACCGTCCCTGCACGCGTGTGCGTCCTCGTTCTTGTCCCCCTCGTTCGTCTGTCATTCTCGTTCTCATGATGCGTCTTCCCAATCCACTGTCGACACTCTTGATCGACACTCTCCATACACCCACACAAAAATACACCTCCACCACCTCGAGCGTGACCGTGCTCGGCCTCTTCAGCAACAGTGAACACCTCACACCCTACAGGCGCACGTTCAGCAAGGTCACTTGCAAGTTTCGCAGCTCGTCGCACGACTCGGGATATCCGTCGTCCGTACGCAGTGCTGAGTTCTGCGAGGAGGACGCCTGGGGGACTATGTGCGCCTGCGAAGCGTAAGAGTGATTCGGCTCCGACGAGGATGTCCATTTCGAGAAGATGGACGGCGTGATCTCTGGCAGCGGAGAACGTTGCTGATGGACTTGTTGGTGAGGAGACGGGAGGCATGGCGAGTGTACGTGCGTGTAGACGGGCGAGGGCTCTCCAGCGCGCTGCAATTGCAGGGGATTCTATGGAACGGAATTATACGTAAATGCTAAATTCGTTTTTGTTCGGCGAGAATCGGCACTTACCTCGTGCTTGTACGCGCTCGAAGACTCGTCTAAGCATCTCATCTTCAGAGTTCTCAAGTCCGAACAAGAATTTCTCAAAGACACGTTGTAGACATGAAACGATCCATCCTTGGAGGGCAAGACGAACAAGCGTCGTGTCCTCTGCGAAGTCAGCACCTTTAACACCCGAAAGTAATCGTAAACAGCGTGCGAGAGAAGGTTCTGCAGCTTCGAGTGCCCAAGCTTGCGCAACCTCCCAGGTCCGGCCTAAGGGTATGCTACTAGCCATTGCAGTTGCAAGGTTACGCAATTCGGTGTTGAGTGTCCTTACGGAAGACGTTAAGGTATCCAAGGGTATTTGAGGGGTTTCATCGTGGAAAAGTTTTAAAGCTTGTAGCTCCGCGCCTTGAAGCTCGAGTTTTGCAAGGAGTGTCGAGATCTCCCGAGCATCCTCGACTATTGGAGGTAGAGCACCAGGTAATGGTGCAGTTGGTCGTGGAGGCAATTCCTGCGCAAGTACAGGATCGGTTTGGACAGACAATTCATGCATATCTCTTGCCACCTGTATTACTGAAGGAGCGCGAACTGACGCCGGTTGCTCATGCACCGAAGCTGCGGGCCGTTCTTCGGTCTGACCGGTAATGTCCTTAGCAAATAGCTGTGTAGCAGATGCTGCTGCTGCTGCCTTCGCAGCATATTCAGTTAATTGTGTACGAAGGTCGTCAAGTTCGAGTTCATAGCTTTCCCGCATGTTCGTGACAATAATCTCGAGATCTTTGGCACGTTCCTCTGCTTTGAGGCGCTCCCGGTCAGCTTCTCGTCGTCGGTCACGATAGTGCTCGGCATGTCGGCGGTATGCGGCGAGGTCCTTCTCAAGTCGCTCAGCCCGTCTACGGAGCGCACGGTTTTCTTTGCGGAGTTCCTCTGTGGAGACGTCGACCTTCGTACCAACCTCGGAAATTGGAGGTGCGCGGGACGGTCCTTGGGAATAGGATGGAGCCTGAGATCTTGATGCCGATCTTGTTGTCTCCCTAGTAATAGTCTGGACTTCGATGATCGTCTCATCCTTCTTCTGTTCTCCCTTCTTCTGCTCTATTCTCGTGGTCTCATTCTTTCGTTCTCCCCCCTCGTCGCGCTTCTCGTGCTTTGGGCGACGAGACGGTTCGTGACCAGGTGCGGCAGGCGCGGTGGCCGTCGATCGCTTCGCAGCCGTCTCGTTCGCAACGGAGTGCTTTGCACTTATATTGGTAGCAGCACCATGTGGTTTAGTAGCACCGTCTACATTTAGATTTGCAACGGTTGTAGACCGCGCGGTTTCCGCAACTCTCGAAGTCACGTCGGCACGTTTGCTTACAGCTTCATTCGCGAGTGCACGCGAAATCGTCGTGGTAGATTGCTTAGCCTTCGACTTGGATTTGTTTGCAGAAGCGGTAGAACGCTTTCGCTCGACATAGGTATCCGTGGTAGAGCTGCAGTCATCGAGGTCATCGAGAATTGCGAAGGAGCCGAGAGAGAAGGGAAATGAGTCGATGAAGCCCATGCCCATCCGGACTTGTAAATATTTGAGTTGCTGCGCCAAACAAATTAAATTTCGAGTACTCAGTGACTCCGGGTCACTGCAAGCCTGGAACATGTTAAAATCATAAGTTCTTGGCTCACAGCATCTAAGATTTGGATACATACTAAGGATGGCGCTCTATCTGACACTATTGCAGATAATGAAGGAATGAGAGTAAGAGAGAGGAAGGCTGCAGGCATCACCAGCGCCGTACACGAGGCCTCGATATTTCCTCTGGCTGTGCAGATTAATAGATCACGTGGTTGGAAGAAATAGGTACAGATTCATTACGTAACGTTTAATGACGCGCACTTTGAAAAACACCAACAATTAAGCTGATTGGGGGCACACAATCCAATGGGACTAAGTAACTTGTTCACTATCTCGGTGTAAATATCTAAACATTGACCAAAAGGTACGTCTCGTCCCTTTGAATACATATTAATGATAATAACTCTACTGTCCAGACTTCACACGTCAGATTTTCTCTGGCATCGACGTCTCGCAGAAATCAATAGCCTATTGATCCGCCAAATATGCTCACTAGAAGTATACACAGACGCCCATGACCTAACACTTAGTGACATATAGCTTGCGAAATCGACATCTGTTTTGCAATCGGACTACATCGGAGAAGTTCCAAAGACTCTGGAACGGCTAGAGAAGTCACGTTCTTGACAGCCCAACTACTATTCAGGATGATTTGGTCGCTAAAAGAAACCTGGATTGCTTCTTGTTATTCATATCTTTCTTCAGATGTTTGGCTCCTTGGATAAAGTTCTGCAATGATCTCAGGCTGTGAGGCTCTACCCACGATGGTACATCGCGAACTCCAAATTCCGGCAGTGAAGACGAACATGGGACCCACATTCACACAAGCCACCGAAATAGTCAATTAACTGAATGCCGTCGACATCTGGTGACCATGAACCCACTTCTAAGGTATAAGAACCAGCACACAAGCACCTAGGTGAGGGACGTCGTTCATCATTACGAAGAAGCTGCCCCGCAATGCCTGGAATTACTCTCCCTCCGTTTCCTGAGAATATTCCGACACACCCCCTGCTGGTCATCGACTACGAGCTCTTGAAGGCAGGAGACTCTGCCGAGGCAGAGAAACTCTGGAAAGCCGCCACGGAGTTAGGATTTTGGTAGTGCGTATATTTCACTGGCAGGGCAATTAGACAATTAACTCAAATATCCTAGTCTGAAGAATCATGGTGCGGATGAAGAGGTCGAAGGCATGTTCGAAATGGGCCGCGAGACCTTTGATCTCCCATTAGAAGAAAAGATGAAGTTCGTGCACGGAGCTGGCGAAAATTCCTTCGGGTAACTTTTCCTTTGTCCCCACCACACGTATTACGTTCTGACACTCAGGAAGGTACAAAGCAGTAGGCTCCTTCGCGACAAATGAGTATGGCGATCCAGACAACGCCGAGTTCATTAATGTCGCTAAGGAAGACGCCTTGGCATATCCCGAAGTCGTTCGGCGCACCTACCCTTCGACTGTATACAAGCACATGGAATCAACAATAATTCCATTCGCACACAAGTCACTCGGAATCGTCGACACAATTTACTCTGTGTTCGAGAAGAAACTCGGTCTACCAGAAGGTGCCATTCGCGCGTGCCATCCACTCATGGAAAATAGCAACTCCGAATGTCGTACCATCAAGTACCCAGCCAAACATGCTTATTCGGAAGGACCGATTGACAAGGCCAAGGTGTCTCTTGGAGCGCACACTGACATAGGATCGCTGTCGTTCCTTCATAATCGACTTGGAGGGCTTCAGGTCCTTCCTCCTGGAAACCCTGATTGGCACTACATCCTCCCTATCCCTGGACACGCGATATGTAACATCGGGGACGCGCTCGCGCTCTTATCTGGTGGCATCTTACGTTCGAATATGCATCGTGTCGTCCCACCGCCTGGTGAACAGTGTCGTTATGCACGCTGGTCGGCTGTGTTCTTCTCTCGACCGGCTAGCAACTGTCCCCTTCGTGCGTTGGAGGGTACTGTAATTAAAGAAACGCTCGCTCAGATAAGTCCTGAGCAAAGGGCGAAATTCAATTCAGGTGTGACACAAGGCGAGTGGTACACGAGGAGGGTTGATAACCAGAGGGCCAAGAACAGGACCGTGAGTTCTAATATATGAAATGTTCAAAGTTATCATTACTGAGTCTAATATCTATAGGGTCCCGAGACTTGGCGTGCGAGTAGGGGAATGGAACACACACCAGATATCATCTGAGCTTTTCCGGTTCCGATTTCCTCTAAGCAATTTACATATGCATGTCACGATTACAAATGTCCCTGATTTATATATGCTCTGTATGTTGCTTGTCCATACAGTAAAGTAAAATGACAGTATTAGCAAAGTATGTTTAATTCGATTGCACAATTGAGTTGTCTACCTATAAATAAGATAAATCCTTTTTGTGTACTTCAAAAGGCATGAGCAATCGTTTTTACTTTATAAAGACAATTTCTATACACATTTGTTTGCATCACATAAGAGTATATATCTATACCTCAAATGTTATGTCATTTGAAGGTGCAATAAAACATGATAAACAAAATGGCACTTGTACTGGAGAACCAAACATTTTATCATAACTCATCTAGAAATTAAATACAATATCCATTGGACATAGGTTGATGTACTCTGTGTAATTACGTTTGGCAAAGTGTGTATGTATAGACTCTCGAAGACAGATACTAGTCATAGTATAACAAGATACTCCAATGCTCTTCGAGACAAACATTCCTGTAACCATGAAAATGCATCAGTACATTATTTTACACTTCATTATAAATGTAATCTGTGCAGATTGTTCAATATCAATACATACTGATGTACCTAGATTATTGCACATATATCTCTCTATATCATTCCTGAGTGTACCTCTGTCTTAACAATTCCAGAACGTAGTCAATTCGTTCTTTAGCTTGCTTGAAATGTTTGTCAAGTTCAAGGATTTTTCCCTTCAACTCTTCCTGTGGCCTGAAGGCACTGCAAAAGTCCTTCTGCCGGTTTCCTGTTGATTCTACAATCCTTTTGGTTTCCTGGGCCAAGTTCACAAAGTGTTTCTCACTTTCATTCCTTTGCACTCGCCTATCTAACTCTGCAAGGCTCTTTTTTATATTTTCACTAGAAACATGATCCTCATCCATTAAATCATGGCATTGTTTAATCTGGGCATCAAGTTCTTTCAATTGCCTCTCTAGATTTCCACGGTGTCTTTCCAGCATTGTCACTGATTCCTTGAATTGCTTTACAGAGAAGGTACTAGCCAGATCTAGACTGTCTCGAATGACTGCTACGAGATTGTCCCTGTAAGTATACTCTCCTTTTGAAGGTGAATCACCCCCATTTCCATCAGTAGTGGATTTGTATTCAACCTGGCTGGAATTTGAATCATTCCTTTTGTGATGTCTGTTCTGTGAACTAGCACATTCAGGCTGGTGGTGACTGTTTGGTTTTGAGCTACTGTCTTGACGCCTTCTTCCTTGACCGTCCATAATTGTAGTTGTTGTTGGCTGGTAATTGGTAAACGTTAAGGTCCAATATTAATGGGCAGAGGAGAGGGGAGCATGAATACTGTTCTTATAGAGTGTTGAGAACATACCTTTGCAATTTCATAGCACAGGTCAATATTTTCTGCTCTCACGCCCCCTTGCCAAAGTACAATGTACTATGTATAGTATTGCACTAATTTGCATTGCGCACATTAACATCTTCTGCTCTCACTCCCCCAATATACTATATTCATACTGTTCTCTACACAGGATATGCTACTATGCAGCCAACATATTTCCGGCATTGCAAAGTCGTACTTTGTACATGTGCATTGATAAGAAATGGCTACATAGTACTGTACGAATGACAAAATTAAAGAAATGCATTTGTCCATACAGAAAAACAAAAATAACAACATCAACAAAGTACAGAAACTATCAGAGCCTCTACCCCCCACAAGAACACATACCAGTATGTCACTGTACGTTAGTTGCACTATGGATAAATGACTGCAATTTGCACACTCACCAACCCATTATCAAATCACCGAATTAACCCAACACCCTTCACAAAGGCGTGAGTAAAAAGCAAAGAATCTGTCTCTGTCCTTGTAATGTCATGCCATTTCCAAGTCCAAATGTCGACCATTTAATTTGGTCCTTCCTCAATGTGTTCCGCCGAGTCTACAATCTCGTTTACCAACTCGTTCGTCACACGGACTCACACCGCACCACGCGCGTAGTCTTTGTGAATGCCATTTGGAGAGTGCTGAGAGTGCTATTCGGGCTTCTTGAGTTGATCGATACACGCGGGAATAACTACACCTATCAATAATCAATGTGTAACTATATTAGCACCGAGGAAGTATTCAATAGGAACTTGGAAACTGACTGGAGTGACGGCAGTTAGCAACACCGAATCCAACATCGCCATATCAGGTAGCTTAGACATGTGTCGATCATGTCGTGGCGCGCACGGCTCCGAATTCAATATCCCTGGCACTCTTGAATTGCTCATCGAAACCGCCACGAGCACTACATAGGTCCAGTTCCGTGTTGTCAATTTTCCTTGTATGTTTTTTCCCCCACGGATTCAGTGATCCCTTATGGTTTCGTAGACCATACATATGAATTGTTGGGCATTTTCGTTGCATTTTACCCACCTTTCTAATATCTTATGGCTTTTCTGGACGTATGCTTTGTCTTGCTCCACACCTTTTTTTATGTCCTTACAGTGCTAGATCTTGATAGTGCAATCTTTCATCTGCATGTCTGCCTCCTTCATTTTGCTTTTCATTGTTGCCAAGAGCATTTCGAGCAGCTCTGGAGAGAACTCAACAGCCATGTCCAGGCAACTCCATCTTGTCTGCATGACTTTTTCCCTGGATGCATTATCTTATTTCAATAGAGAGCTGCTTCTGACCCTACTAGCAGTAGCAACCTGCCTGTTTTCACCCTTTTCAGTATGCAACCCATGCTTTCCTGGTTATTCTCTAGCATGCAATCTGGTATGCTGATGGTTCTGGTGATCTTTTGGTCTTGGACTGCTGTCGCAGCCACGACTGTTGTGGTACCCTATCCAGTCAATTCAAGCGCATTTCATCTACAACTATCTACCACAACCTGTACAATACACACAAAAAAAAAGAGTCATAAATTACAGCATCTCATTTACATGATGTTGCTTTTGCTTTTGTTAAAAAAATTAAATAGATATTTTATTGATTTTATATTGGAAGGCATAATAGTGCTTGTCTTTCAACATATTCCAAATGATTTGTCTAGTAGGAGAAACACAAACCAATTTAATTAACCAGCATACCTGCAGGCTAGGAATATGTTGTTTATTGGTAATTCAGAAGGTACATATTGTAATTTTGGGTGTCATTCGTAATAACTGCTGACCATTCATTTTTGGCAATAATACTTCTGTTTGCTGCACTTACTTCCATACAGTCATCAGCTAATGTTCAATCCGTCTTGCATGCTCACTAGAAGTTTCGTATATACTTCATCTATTTTGGAATCGGGCCACATCAGAGAGGTCCCAATGACAAACAAACGTTGTACTACTTAGAGCGCCTGTACAGCTGCAGACACGGCATCAAAGGCACATCACGAAAAAGTCTTAAGTATTGTATTCACTTGTAATCCTATACATTTTCTACCTTTTATAAAATTTGTCAATGTTAATATAATCTTCATAGGGGGTTAAGCAATGATAGTACAATGTTAAATAAGTAAACAAGAATACTTTTAAAACTTGGCAATTACAATTATAATTGTGTAAATTGTCAAGTTATACAAGTGATTATAATATACTTTCTAAGATTACAAGGTTAAGACATACTTATTAATTTGTGACAGTATAATATCTACTTATAATGCTTATAAGCTATTACAAGCATTTGATTCACTTCCTTTTGCTTTGGATACAATTTTTTATCAAATAATTTATAAAATATAATTATATTTAATTATTTAATACAAAATAATAAATGTACATTATTTCTACAGTCCTGACCCCTACACCACTAGCTGCCTCTGCCTTGTTCTTTCGTGAGCAGAATTCGTGTCGGAAAAGGATGAACACATCCTTAGACTGTTTGATGTAGTCTTTGTCACCACGTTTGGCCGTCGCTCGGGACCTGTGAGTCAAATTGTGTGTGTGTGTGGGTTGAGGTCGAGCAGGTTGTGGAGGTTGAGGCTGCACCTGTTAGACAGGTTTAGAGTAGTTAGTAAGTATCAATAGGAGAGAAAAGGTGGACGTACTGTGACAGCGTGCAGTAAGTGTGAGTGGTGTATGCAGGTTGAGATCCGGAGCATTGAACGAGTTGATTCAGGCTGCAGACAAAGCCGTATCAGTATGCATATGCTACATATTCTGACTGTAACGTGTAATTGGAGGAGCAGTGAACTGAGTCATTATTGTGGATTGATCTCTGGGACGTACCGGCTCGAACAGAGAAGGCAAAGTGGAATGTATTGACGGACTCTGCTCAGGAGGGGTAAGTGGTGGTCCACTGCTTCTGTTTGATATGATGTTGTCCGCTGCACTAAGGAATGTAAATGCATGTAGGGTGGACCTGTCGAGAGTGACGTTAAGTATGGAATGGGTGGGGAAGGAGAGCGTGTACAGTGTCAAAGAGAGGGTCGTACCATGGGAGTGGTCGTACGTTGGTATTGTTGCGAGTGCGTACTTGTTGACTGTTGCTTGCACTACAGAGCGGGAAGTACGCGAATGTATGGAAACATTGAAGAAGTCGTTCAGCATTGGTCAACAATGCGGATGCGCGAATGCGAATGCAAAAAGGAAGGCGAGCGTAAACAGAGGAGGACAACGAAGGAGAGGCAACGCAAGCGGCGGAGCGAGGAGCGGGAGGGATGGAAGGGAGACAAAAAGTTGAGAGGAGAGGGGTGAGTAACCATTGTGCAAGTTATTATGAAGTGGACTGGCTGCTTATGCTTTACGATGAAGGACGGTGTAGCCAGCTCAGTCGTGTCGTCACAGGATCTGAGGTTCAGCACAAGCATTGCAGTGGCAGATTAGAGAGACGAATACAGTGATGTTTATTGTAGGCAGTGTGCCTGCTGGAGGATGCTTGTAGGCAGAGTACTGGGCTAGAGAGAACAAGAGCGACGACATAGCATGGGGGGAAGAGGGTTGGGGAGATGGTGGAGGTAGGAGGAAAAGGAGTGACGAGAGCAAGTGCGTCATTATATGCGCTCGATCTTCGGTACTCGATTATGTAATCACTTCGATATATTGTTTAAAAGTAAAACCAAATTATTTTATAAGTCTGACAGAGTGATTGTTATCAATATTAATATATATAATTGCATATTATCTTACTAGAAGTATTGTAATTAACTTACAAGTACAATGTATTACTTTTATGACTATTATAATCAATCAACTATTGTTACAAATAACTTATAATATAATTTTAGCAGATTATAATAAGAGTTAAGTGCTTGTATCTCACATGTAATGTTGTAATAATACTATTAGTAAGCTTACTTGCTCTAAAACATGTTTGTAGTTTAATAGAAACTTTGTATATTTCTTACATTTATATACAATCATTATAATTACATTACAAGTAAAATATAAGTATAAGTATTATTTTAGAATGTAATGCTTATGAAATCATTTTATTAGATTACTTTTGCTATTATTAAATACATTTGTTGCGACTTTTTCGTGATGCACGTCCTTGATAACGCAGGCAGTTAAAGCATCGTGTATAGTTACTACTATAGTATAGTAGTTATTTTAAGGAAGCCATGATCAATTCTGGTTATTCAAACCGATCGTCGAACACTTGATTCCTTGAACGGAGTTCTACGATGTTCTTAACTTGTGTCCCCCGCTCACACGCATCCTGCAAATAGTCGGGCTGTTGAATCTCCGCCTATAACAGATGAACATAAACTTGCTTCCGCAGTAACACGAACTCTGAAAATAGTCGAGTTGTTTGCACCCCGTCTATTACCGACGAACATAAATATGCTTCTATATTGCAAGAGCTTCCACCCAAGTGTCTAGTCAAGGAACGCCACCAATCAGCAAGGAATACTCTGTCATGCCTGGTATTACTCTCCCCCCATTCCCTGAAAATATTCCGACCCACCCTCTGCTGGTCGTCGACTACGAGCTCTTGAAAGCTGACGACCCCGCCGAGGTCGAGAAGCTCTGGAAAGCCGCTACAGAACTAGGCTTTTGGTAGTGCGTATACATCACTAATCAGGTTAATAGATGACAGGCTCAAATGACCTAGTCTGAAGAATCATGGCGCAGAGGAAGAGGCTGAAGGCATGTTTGAAATGGGCCGCGAGACTTTTGACCTCCCGACAGAGGAAAAGATGAAATTTGAGCATGGAGCTGGCGAGAATTCATTCGGGTAACGATACCTCTCTTTCGTTAATACACGTGCTGCTTTCTAATATTTGGAAAGATACAAAGCAATAGGGTCTTTGGCGACGAACGAGTACGGTGATCCAGACAATGCCGAGTTCGTTAGCATTGCTAAGGAAGACGCCTTAGCCTATCCCGAAGTCGTTCGGCGTACTTATCCTTCGACTGTCTACAAGCACATGGAGTCCACTGTAACGCCATTCGCCCGCAAGTCACTCGGAATAATCGACACGTGTTACTCTGTATTCGAGAGGAAACTCGGTCTCCCTGAAGGTGCCATTCGCGCTTGCCATCCACTCATAGGAAAGACCAACTCCGAGTGCCGCACAATCAAATACCCAGCGAGATACGCTTACTCGGAAGGCCCAATTGAGAAGGACAAAGTCTCCCTTGGTGCTCATACAGACATAGGATCACTCTCGTTCCTGCATAATCGACTCGGAGGGCTACAGGTGCTTCCTCCCGGAAGCCCCGACTGGCATTACGTCCTCCCTATCCCTGGACACGCAATTTGTAACATCGGGGATGCTCTCGCTCTCTTGTCCGGAGGCGTCTTGCGCTCGAACATGCATCGCGTCGTTCCACCGCCTGGTGAACAGTGTCGTTATACACGTTGGTCGGCTGTGTTCTTCTCTCGGCCATCCAGCGATTGTCCACTTCGTGCGCTGGAAGAGGGTACTGTAATTAAAGAAGCGCTCGCTCATATGAGTCCTGAAGAGAGGGCAAAATTCAATCCAGGCGCGACGCAGGGCGAGTGGTACACAAGGAGGATTGATAACCAGAGGGTCAAGAACAGAAAGGTGAGTTCTTCTATTCCAGCCGTACAAGTGGAAATAATCGAGTCTGGTGTTTGCAGGGACCCGAAACTTGGTATGCGAGCAGAGGAATGGAACACAAACCACTTATCATTTGAGCTTCTCTGGTTTCAGTTGCTTCAGATCCGGTTTGCATATGCATGACATGATGGCCAGTGTTATCGATCTATCTCCTCCTATGCTACTTCTAGTAGAAGATATTGATTTTACTGTTCCTTGCCGTGCCATTACTGTTGGTTGCATGATTCGAATAAAGACCGTCAAGCTTAGGATAGCATTGTGTCCGAGACCTACTCAAAAATATCCTGTTGGTGTCGATTGGACAAAGAATACCCCACAACAAATTGGTTGGAGCGAGAAGTACCAAACCGGGGGAACTGGCCAATGCTGTCGGCTTCTCACCTGTGATCTGCCCCACGTCCTTGTAGAGAAAGAAAGCGACAAATTCTGGCATTGCGGTATCTTCTTTGCTTACCGTGACTTCTCCCGTGAACGGACTTCATCGGCGAAGACTTGTTCCTCCTAGGCTGAACTTTGTATAAGAGGTACTATCGCAAGTTGTTCCTCATTTATCTATTGCTTTCCTAAGAAGAGCTAAGAAAGGTTCTGTGGGAGATAGTTGTATATCATTAATGCCGCCTATGAGCCATAGAAGTATTGATTTGGATAGAGTTCCGTTTTGCTTGGATTCGCGAATACTGGAGTCATCATTCTCGTCGCCTTCAAAGTGAATGGAGCGCATAAAGTCCTTCCCAGGATCCTTGGGCAAGACCTCACATGAGCCTACCCCAGTAGTAAGCGGCCCGTTCGTAGATTCTGCAGACTTCAGTCCGTTATTGAAGAACTGATTATCCCTTCGAAATTGCCATAAGAGCAGTTGGTTGAAGGATAAAGCGCAGAACCTGCTTCACTGTCGCTCAGTAGCTGCTGACAATGCCAGGCTTAACGCTCCCTCCATTCCCCGATAACATACCTATACATCCCTTGCTAGTCATCGATTATGAGCTCCTGAAGGCTGGCGACAACGATGAGATTGAGAAACTCTGGAAAGCCGCGACGGAGTTGGGTTTCTGGTAGTGCGTATGACCGTTGATGCCTCTTCGTCCAGTGGATTGGGGACTAATTGGCTGCAGTCTGAAGAATCACGGCGCTGATGAGGAAGTGAACGGGATGTTTGACTGGGGTGCGGAGACGATGGCCCTCCCACTTGAAGAGAAACTCAAGTTCGCACAAGGCGAAGGAATCAAGACCTATGGGTGAGAAATCCTCAGCATAAATTTAACTATTTGATATAAATATCAATTTTACCTTGATAAGATACAAGCCGCTGGGTCATGTTGCGACAAACGAATATGGCAGCCCAGACAACATCGAATTATTCAATGTCTCCAAGGAGGACGTGCTTGCCTACCCAGATGTAGTACATACTACGTATCCGTCGACCGTGAACGCCCGCATGGAGTCTACAATTATTCCCTTCACGCGCAAATCGTTGGATGTCGTCGAGACTACCATGACTATATTTGAGAAGAAGCTCGGCCTACCAGCAGGTGCGATAATGAGGCTCCATCCTCTAATGGAGCCAAGTGGTTGCGAAGCGCGTGTAATCAAGAGCCCACCAAAATACACTGCGAATCCCGACGGTAAAGTCGATATGGACAAAGTATCCCTTGGTGCTCATACGGACTTCGGATCTCTATCGTTCTTGCACAATCGACTTGGTGGCTTGCAGGTCCTTCCACCTGGAAGTCAGGATTGGTATTATGTCCGCCCGATGCCTGGACATGCCATTTGCAACATTGGAGATGCGCTCTCGATGTTTTCTGGTGGCGCCTTGCGTTCAAACATGCACCGAATCGTGCCTCCGCCAGGTGCTCAAGCCGCTTATCCACGCTGGTCAGTTGTCTTCTTCTCACGGCCTGCAAATACCGTACGTCTTCGCGCTCTTGAAGAAGGTAGCGTTGTGAAGGAAGCACTTTCGCGGATGAGCCCCGAGGACAGGGCGAGATATGATCCGAATGTCACGCAGGGCGAATGGTATGCAAGGAGGATGGATGGAATTAGTCTGAAGAATAGAAAGGTGAGGCCAGAGCTGTACTGTGTGAACCTCGACTGATTACCGAACACACCTGGAATAGGGGCCTGAGACGTATCGTGCAAGTCGGGGGATGGAGCATAAGCCTGGAGCAGTCTAAAACATTCTAAAAAGTCATTATATGATTATCCAACTACCCGAAATCAGACCGATTGTACTGAGTTGAAAGGGTCCAACTCACATATGTAGCTCTATGATGCCGTTATCCGGACGTTTTGTAAACAGAATTACTTTGCCAGCCCGTACTTGGATGAAATTAGAGAATCGAAATCACGTTTTCACGCAAGATCGACTGGCTAGCGGCGTTGCTCCAGTGATGATGAGAGAGAGATTAACATGTTTCCCTTTCTCGAAGTCCACAATAATTAAGGAGATATCATGGCTATTTCAAGCAAAAGCAGTGTTTCACTCGTGAGTCGTGAAGGTAAATAATCCAGGTTGATCTGTGTCGATCCCACGTGCTGAACGTCCCCTCCCTACGCGTCGCGTTCCGTCATTTCTCTTGCTCTAATTCCTAGGTCGACCAAGGGTAATGTCACAAGGATCACAATGAGGCCGTTTTGTGAGCCGTCATCTATCCTCGGTGGTTTCAAGGAGAGGGTCGAATCCTTGTCGGTTCATGGTGAGTAATATTTCGACCTTAGGACGCAGGCCTGACCATACCACAGGAGAGCGGTTGTTCATTGGCACTGGTGTCGGCAATCTACACATTTACAATGTAGACCAGAGCGAAGATGGCAGCTTCAAATCTAGTCATGTATCAACGAAAAGCCTAGGCAAGAAACCGATCGAGCAAGTTGGCTACATTAAGGACATAAACTCCGTGGTAGCTCTATTAGGTGTGTCCGACACCCCTGGTTTCATTGAGTGTTGGCTGAAGTATTCATGTAGATTCAGTTGTAACTCTGTATCCATTCCCCGGCCTTGTTCCGCCGACGCCACTTACGCAGCCGCGAAAAGCTTTCTCGTTTGCCGTGTCCTCAAGAGTTGAAAGCATTTCTGCGGATGGCAAAGTGCTGTCGTTCGACGACGCAGGAGCAGCTAGTGTATCAGGTATACCAACAGTCGTTACTTATTTGATCGTTGGGGCCCAGAGAAAGCTCGTTGTTTACTCATGGAAGGATGGAGAGGCTCAGGAGATCAAGGTGAGCAGTCTTGTAAGATATATGTCTATTATGGCAATTCTAATTGCTGATATAGGAAGCTCCGCTACCGCACTCTGCACGTGTCATTACTTTCATCAAACCAAATGTCCTGTGTCTAGCTTATAGTGCTACGGAGCATGTTCTGTTTTATTTGGAAACGATGTCTGCAGCGGAGTTCACGATGCCCGTGAACGTCCCTTCGTCTTCTAGTACCGGAGCATATGGCATGAACGCGCTTTCTGGTCTAGGTGGTTACATGTCATTAGGTCTTGCAGCCAAAGCGAAGCCCATGGCAGTGGCTGTTGGGGAAGAGGTCCTTATCCCTAAAGATAGTTCGTGCCATCCGATGATTCCCTGAAGATAATACTCACATTGCTATTAGGTGCCGGTTTGTTCTTCGGAGCTGATGGAAAGGTGACCCAGAGTAGCTTGATGTGGGGTGCTCCTCCAGAGGATATTGGTACTCAAGCCGCTTACTTTTAATATCTGAGAGCTAATTTGCGTAACAGTGTATGTAAAACCATACGTAGTATCGATACAGCCTGCTGGAAGTGTTTCCGCTTCATCTCTTGATGCATCAACGTCTGCGCCTACTGGTCCTACGGGATTTGTGCAGTCATCGGTTTTGCAAATTCAATCTTCGATAACTCAGCAGCACGTGCAGTACTCGTTCTTGCCGTCTGCAGCACCATCATTATCGTCGCTGCGACTATTGACGCCATCACCTGCTGCCAAAGCACCGGTGTTCGCGGTTTCGACGCCAGTAGACCGGACTGCTGCGGCTTTGGAAGGAAGTTCAATATGGCTTTTCCGTATGAAGACTTGGAGCGACCAGGTTGACGAACTTGTCGAGGAGGAGAGTTACACCGATGCGCTTGCTTTGCTTGATAGCGTTGAAGAAGCCACATTACCTGACAAGGTTTGCAAACAAGACTGTTAATCATTGCTGAGACTTAATTGGATTACAGGCGGCACGACGGACGAAAATACGCGGTTTGAATGCAGTATCCCAATTCAAGAAAGGGGATTTCGATACTGCACTGAATACATTCATCGAACTTGACATAAATCCCGCGAAAGTCGTCGCCCTTTACCCAGAAGTAATCTCTGGTCGGCTCCATGTCCCTCAGGAGCGATGGATATCTCTATTCGGTGGCCCAGAACCAAAGCCTGACGCTAAACCTGACGAATTGGAGGAAAAGGAGGGTCCTACCAAGTCCTCACCGACTGGTCGCACTCCATCTCCAGCTGGTTCTTTGCGGTCCGTCCGAGGACTACGGAGGGCTACATTAGACCTCAAGTCATCTATCGTCTCAAGTAGCCTTGATAAGGACGATGATCGAGTTTCTCTTCGTGGACGAACGAAAGACAAGTCTAAGACAGCAGGTGCGCGTATCCTTCATCACTTAAATCATTAGCTTAAATGCCGACAACAATTCTGCCTTGTAGATACGTTCCCTCGCTCAGTCGAAGCTCTCCTACGTTACCTTCCTGACAGGCGACCTCGTATCGGCCATGCACTTGAAGTGCTGCATATCACTCCAGCTCAATCGCACCAATTCCCCTTCTTATCCGAAACTTCGGTGGAAGACCTACTAGCACTGCCGAATGTGCCCCTTTCGTCACTTACTCCCGAACAACTCTCGCGTTTTGCGCAAATTGTGGACACAGCATTATTCAAGGCGTATTTGGTTGTTCGACCAGGATTGATTGGCCCATTATGCGGTTTGCCAAATTGGTGTGAAGTCGCAGAGGTGGAAGAAGTGTTAATGGAACGCGAGGTCGGTCACCATCCACTGATCTTTCTGCAAATTTTGGAAATGAATGACTGTTACTTTTTGACTGTTAGAAATATTCCGAGCTGGTTGCGTTATACAAGGGGAAGAAAATGCACGGAAAGGCTCTAAGTCTCCTAAGGAGGTCAGTCGGAGTGCCTCATCACTACTTGTCCCCTTGTTAAGAGCATACAGATTGAGCGAGAAAGAAACCGACATCGAGGACAAGATCCGACCATCCGTTTCATATGTGCAGAATCTAGGTCCTGAGTATCTCGAACAAATATTTGAAGCAACACGGTGGATATATCAGCTCGATTCAGATGCCGTCTACGACGTATGCACTCAAGAATTCCACATCTCCTTCGTTGTTCGCTGATTATTACTCGTCTTGTTCTACTACCTAGATTTTCACTGCAGAGATGGTCGAGCTCCCTCGGTCTAAAGTCGCAGATTTCATAGAGGAGGAACTTGACCCAGCATTGTGTGCTAGATATCTTGAGTACTTGATTCAAGAACGTGACGAGATGTCTACACTGTTCCATGATCGACTTGCGGAACTATATCTTGACATGGCTGTGAATGTTCGCAAGGAGGGAGACGAAGGTATTCGTTTTCTTGGGCAGCTTCATGCAGCGTGCATTGCGCTGATGATCATCTTCTACAGATGCTTATCATCGAGCATATGACAAATTCCTTGGTTTCATTCAGTCTTCCGATATCTATAGGGTGGATAGACTATTTGGGCTATTACCATCTGAGGGTAAGTCAGAGCGTTGGTTAGCAAAAATTCGATCTTAACCTATTGGCCCATAGACATGTATGAAGCAAGAGCTATCCTATTAGGCCGTCTAGGGAGACACGTAAACGCACTGGAGACGTACGTATATCGTCTAGGCGACTACAAGAAAGCAGAAGAGTAAAGGCACCTTTATTCGTAATAGCATCAAATTACTGACAAGATTCATTTTACGAAGGTACTGCAAAAGCATATACATACCAAACACCCCAACACAGGATATCTTCCTCGCACTACTCAAGATCTACCTCGAACCATCTCCGTCCTCCCAACAAAAGCTACAAAGACGCGACGACGAACAACCGAGTCTACTCCGACCCGCTCTGGAACTTATCAGTCGACAGAGTCCACGCCTCGATACGCTCGAGACACTCCGACTCCTCCCTCCACTTGTACCCGCGCAGAATGTGCGCGCGTTCCTGTTTGATGCTACACGTGCGCCAATATTCGATACGAAGGTTGTGAGAGAGGTGAGAAAGGGGTATAGTGAACAGGTTGCGAGGCGGTTGATGGCGCTGCAGAGTCGGAGAGTACGGGTGACTGATTCGAGAATGTTTGTGCTGCCTTCTTCTTTTTGTTGTCGCTCATTTTTTCACTAATAACATTAATTTTTTACTAGTTGCCCACAATGCCATAAGAGAATAGGTACAAGCGTCATCGCTGTCCATTCTCCTCACGGGGAAGTCACACATTATCAATGTCGGGAAGCGTTCGTGAATGCGAAGAAACGCGCGGAACACGGGATTGTGCATTAATTAGTACCACGCCCTCTTTTTGCTTTGACAACACCCCTCTTCATTGGCTTACTCGATCACGTCACATTCCGTACATGCAGTTAGAATAATTGCCATCATTGTATCATTAGTTTGGATATACCATAACGAATTGAAGTTCTCGCGCGTACAATCAGCGTAATTGCTCATTTTGGACATTAATCGTCCTCATCATCTGCATCACCCGCGAAAAGGTCCGGTCCATCGAAGTACGTCAGAGAGGATGGTTGATTATCCGGATCAATAAGAGGTTGGGGTGTATCTATATGGGCTCGATCGACAGTTTCAGAAGCAACCATAGGACACTCGGCAGAGTCAAAGTGTAACGTGTCAGCGGCTGGGGAAGAAGCAGGAATACCACTCAAAGGCCCATCCTGACAGTGCAGAAGTGTCTTCTCTACAGAGGAAATAAAGGCGTCTTGCAGTAGGTTTTCATCTCCGCCATGAGGTCCAAGACTATTCGGGTGACACTTATTGGAAGAGTCAATATGCGAGACAATAGGAGGTAATGCAGAACCAGAGAGTCCAATGGAAGGCCGGTCAAAAGCTTCAGCTATAGGAGACGACGCAATGGAATGGTATTGTGGAACTCCGCCGACAAAATGCTTCTGTTCGTCCAAAAATTCGACTGGACTATCTTGAGAACGGCAAGGATCTGGAGACCTAGAAAGTGTACGACAACTGATTGCCTTAGTGGGCGAAAGCCGACTCGGGGTTCCTTGCTGTTCCTCTTTTCTATCGTCGCAAGATCCAAAATGACTGTAGACGTCTTCTTGAGAACTTGAGAAAAGTGATTGAGGCTGCAGGGGTGGACTATTGTTAATCGAAGGAGTAAATTGTCGAGGTGATATTCCAAGAACAGCTTCGTCAAACGTTGTCGAGTTTGGTGGTGTCACGAAAGAAACACGAGAAGCACCGTGGTTCTCCAGTGTCGAAGCATTTGCCTGATCTTCACTGAAGGGATCGTAGTCCAGACGTTCATCGTCAACGTCTATGTTGTGCGGATACGCCGCGTTCTCGAGTTCATCTTGTTCCCTATGATCAGCAAGGTCTTCTTCCGAGTAGGAAGGTAGCATAGTAGCGGAAGGTACGAAAGACTCGTGTTGGACGTTAGAGGTAGAAGGCACAAACCCGACACCAGCCCGTCTGAAAATCTCTAGGTTAGTGTCTTGTTCGATTGAGGTATCTTCGGGCGTAGGGTTAGGTGTTCTTGCTCTGCCAGAAGTGAGCCAGGAGTCGATGTATTTCTCATAGGTTACGGGGGGAAATTGAGTATAAAAGAGATGATCAGCTTGCGTCGGTTGCGAAGGTCGAATATAGTGGCTGGATGATGAAGCTTGGGAGTTCTGGTGGTGTTGGATTTCCGACGGTTTGAGCGAAAATTTATGTATCGATGCGCTATAAGAATGATCCGAGGGTTGCGGCGATGCCTTCACAACGCGGTAGTGTCGACTATCGCCTCTTTGTATGTCGTTTGTATTATCTTTTATGTTTGTGAGCTGGTCTTCCTCGAGGTCAGGTTCATCCGTAAAGTGAAGTTCCGAAAAACCAGAGTTTGCATAGCTGGAGCCTGACTCTGATTCTTGCAGAGCAGACAACTGATCAAGTGAAGAATCGAAAGACTCATCCACATAATCAGTCTCCTGAACGACAGTTGAGGAGGTGCGAGAAAAGGTGCGACTAGCAACGTCATGGCGGAGTTGAGAAGCAAATGAAGCAGAAGACCGAAATTGTCTCATATTGAGTGGAAGTGACTGGCTAGAAGATTTTCTTCTCGTCGGTGAGTTATTGCGAAAAGACGACGACGAACTGCTTGAGCTTTGTTCACTAGTCTTCTGGAAGTTCACAGAGCATATAGGCACCAGTTGCGGAGCTTAAGGGTTGCTGACTAACCTGCTTTTTCCTAGACCTGTTTAGGGTCGTATCAAGCTCGACATCACGCCTCGTGTTTCGAGTTCTGCTGACAATATGCCGTAATCCAGCGAGATCGGATTTGTTGAGTATATTACTGAGAGTAGCTCGGAGTCCATTGGCTACACGTTTCGTTCAGTTAGTAGCATAATATATGCACTTCTTCGCACATACGTTCATTGATATCCAGGTCTTCCAGCACCTTTGAGTTCCGAAATCGAGTCCGTTTGATAATACCAGGACTGGAAGAATTCAGATGAAGCAGTGTCCTTGATGGTGTTCTGACCGTGGACGCAATAGAAGACCTAGTCGCCAAGTCACTCTGCACAGCATTTAAGTGCCTTCTTGCATGAGCAAGATCGATATCATCTATTTTGCCGGGTTGCACTGTTCGAGGAGCTTCACCGTTATCAAACGACTGATCTCGGAGTCCGCGGGCAAGAATCTGGTGCCTTTGCTTTATGAAGTGTCCCTTCTGCATTCGACCAGTAACATCTTTTGTTCGAGCTTTCGCTGCATTTCTGTCGGGGAATACGTCAAGTTACCGGTATACCGCTAGATACGTGAGTATTGAACCTTCTTCCTCCCATGTAGTTAGCTCCGGCCATCGCGGGATTGGCGAGGGGGCCGAGGAAGTCACAAGCTCTACTAGAGACCTCTTCCGTGCATGCGATTGAATCAAAGTAGAGCTTGGTACGGGAATCAAATAAGCTTGAAGCCCTTGGTGATGGATAGAACAAGAGCGGACTTGGACCAAGAAGCAGATTAAGATTTCGGAGCGTGAGAATCACACGTGATTGATTACGGATCGGCTCTTTCTACATGTTTGGACGCAACGGACCTTGCCTCGAGTCTCCACCGCGCTCTTTCCTTCCTCTCATCACGACGAAGGCTCCCCTTACGCTAGTCAACGAACGACTTCGGTAGTCTGTTATTTAACACTCGATCGCTTGTAGACTCGTACTTATTGAAGGAGTCATGTACGTGTCTTGTGATGTTGGCTGCACTGTATTTGTGAATGCGTCATTCATGTACCAATTTTCTAACCTCGTTTCTCCTATTGTACGGTCGTCGCTGTACCTAGATTATCACAAACTCGATTGCTCCTGTCCTCTTTAGCTGCTTCAACGAAGTTTTGTTCTCCACCACATTTTCTGTTCTTAAGTTACGCAGTGCAGTGAATCACTATCATGCCTGACGACGATTTTGACATCTACGGCGAAGACGACGGCTTTGGCTCTGCCATGGGCCCTGAGGTGAGTTTAATTATCGGATGTGATTTTGTGAAGTACTTACATGCTGTCTATTATGAGATTACGAATGAGTACGAAGAGCAGAATGTAGAAGAGCCGCCAACGCCGATCAATGAACCCTCTGTGGGTGAAAAGCGTCCTCGTGAGGAAGAAGCGCCCGAGAACGCCCCTCAAGAAATCGCGGCAGAAACATCGAAATCTCCGAATGCTAACTCAAGCTCGTCTGCTTTGAACCCTGCAAACCTTGGTCATGGGGCGATGAATGGCAACCTTGGTGCAGGACTATCTAATATGCCATCCAACATGGATGCTTTGTACATCGGTGATTTGCAATGGGTCTGTTCCTCTATCTGTCCGAATTCATATAGCATGTATTCTGAATTGCTCTTTGTATTACGTTTTGTTCTGAAGTGGACTACGGATGAAGATTTGCGCAAGGCCACTTTAAATATTGGTGTTAATATCGAACTCAAAGACATCACATTCTCCGAACATAAGGTCAACGGGAAGAGCAAAGGGTAATCGCTAGCGCTTTGATGCACTGGACGTGGGTCTGACTTATGGTTATCAGAATCGCGTATGTTGAATGCCACAGCCCAGAAAATGCGAATTTGATCAAGAACTGGTTCGATAAGAAGTATGCGGTTGCATTTTCGGTCTGCTTCATAGCGCTAATTTATCCTTTTCTAAGTGACTTTCAGGGTCGACGTGCGAGTACGAGTCTCACGACTTCACAGCAGGGAAATCCGTTCCGTACATTGCCAAAAGGCATGTCTCGAAAGCCCGTTTCTTCATCAGTGTCTGTGTTTACGGACTTTACAGAGCCGCCTCAACGAGATGGCCGGGCGGGAAACCAAAATCAAGTCGGACGAGGTGGCTTCCGTGGCAATCAACCGAATAACAACATGGGTATGCAGCAATCACGAGGTGGTGGCCCACAGGGTATGATGCGCGGCAATGGTCCACTGAGCGGAGGTACAATGACTGGGCTACCTAACGTACCAGCCGTGAACATGAATATGATGAACATGATGGGAGCCATGGCAAATCAGTTTGGAGGAAACATGCCGTTTGCTGGTAGGGGCGGAGGAGGTATGATTCCTCAGGGACCAAGAGGCGGAATGATGAATGGGAACTTTGGTGGGAGAGGTGGAGGCATGATGGGCGGTGGAATGGGTGAGTATTCTGCTGTTCTTGAGCATTCCGTGTCGACCTATCAACCTAATGGAACAGGTATGGGTATGGTACCCACAGGTCCAATGGGTGGTCGAGGCGGGTTCGGTGGACAGGGAGGTGGGGGACACTTCAATCCAGCGTTCATGCAGAATCAGAATGCTGGACAGTTTGGACCAGATGGGCCAAGGAAGCGCTTCAGGATGGAGCAGAGCGGCTGATTGAGATGTTCCTCATACATAGCCAGACTGTTACGTACTTTTTATTCGCGTGTTCTATGAGACGATGTGACCAGTTATACCTGTACTGTAAATTCAAATTACTTATGATTATTCAAAACCGTCGAAGTGAATTTCCTTGTGCACCTACGAAGTTCACGTGGCAGCAACACGTCGATCATGGACGCGTCGAAATAGCCGCAACTCTACCTACTCCCACCAGTCCGCCAGACGAAATGTGCTTGGAGCTCATTTAAAAAGTTCTATCTAGTGCTCTGAAAGCTTCATTTATACATTTTATCTAATGCAAACCGACGACTTAGAGCTTCAAATGCCGACCAATCTTCGTAACGAGTCTAGATTTGGGTACTCCCAGACTAGGGAGGACGCTGAGGCGTTTCTCAAGGCTACTGCGGTCGTCGTTACGCCCAAACGACGAGGTGTTCTACGCTTCACGGTAGATGCACCGGTTGCAGTACAGAAGACTGCTCAGATACATTCCCCACCGCGTTGGCGAACTACGGAGTTCTACTTCTATTATGTGGTATTTATCGTTGTCGTTCCCATGATGGTGTGGAAACCAATTTCTCTAAGCCAAGGTACGTATTTATTTGATGTTGACGAAGAGTTTGACAGAATTTGTTACTTTCGCAGAGTCTAATCCTAACTACCCTTTGTTTTACTCCCGGTTGAGCGACGGATGGATATTCGGTCGGAAAATCGTGAGTTCTCTACTCATCACCGGCGTATTTGAGTTGCGTTTGCGCTAACACCCAATTCATAAAAAGGATAACAGCGATGCACAGTTCAAAACCTTCCGAAATAACCTCCCTTTACTCGCACTCATCGCAGCTACTTTCCTCATCATCAAATATATGTACCTTAAGCTATTCCTTCGCTCAAGCATATCAGAAGACGGAACACGACTACATCTCATACCATTTAGCCTTTCATTTTCCATCATATTCTTATTAGGGCTGCATGGAGCGAGTGTTCTCAAGATATTTTTTATCCTCACTATAAATTACGGCATTGCTAAATCGTGCAAGTCATCAAGAGTGACACCTTGGTTGACGTGGATATTTAACATGGGCGTGCTATTTGCTATTGAGCGTAATTCTGGGTTTCAATTCTCGAGTTTATCACCCTCACTGGAGAGTTTGGTACGTGCGATGATTCAGACTCCTTTCAGATTTGATGTCTGACAAGGCCTCTTGTATAGGATAGAATAACGGGCGTTTATGCGAGATGGTTCATACCGTTCAATTTCACTATGCTGCGGCTTGTTTCTTTCAATATGGATTTTTATTGGGCTCATAAAGCGTCAAAGTTCGGACAGGTATGTTGCTCCTTTGTCCGTCGATGTTGATCTCAGAGGCTCATGCAGCGACCAGCCTATCCTTCCAGACTCAGCGATGGATCATAAGCAAAGGACGACGACCCCGCTCGACCTCGACGTTTACTCTTACAGGAACTTCCTTGCCTATGTGCTCTATCCGCCATTGTTTCTTGCAGGACCTATCATGACGTTCAACGACTTTATGTGGCAGGTATAACGTCTCTTCAGACTCATCTTCAGACATAACTGATCTAACTGTATCCCGAAAGCATGTAAGACCATCAACGGTACCGACCTGGAAAGCGGTCGGGAGATACTTTGTCAGATTCTGCGTCTGCATGCTGACAATGGAGTTCATCCTGCATTACATGTACGTCGTAGCTATCAAGGATACGGCGGCATGGAAAGGGGACACGCCGTTGGAGCTTAGTATGGTAGGATTTTGGAATTTAATTATTGTTTGGTTGAAGGTGAACCTGCCGTCATCATTTTTGGTTCCAAACTGGATTGACACGCTTTCAACATCTGTGAACGTATAGCTTCTACTACCCTGGCGATTCTTCCGCTTATGGGCACTCGCAGACGGGCTAGAACCCCAGGAAAACATGGTACGGTGTATGGCGAATAACTATTCGACATTAGGATTTTGGCGATCGTGGCATAGGAGTTTCAATTTATGGATAATTAGGTGAATAACGCCTGCCGTGCCTTCCTCTACGGTGACAGCTGATGCGCAGCAGATACATATACATTCCTCTTGGCGGAATTAAGAATCAAATAGTCTCGACCATATTGATATTCACCTTCGTTGCACTCTGGCACGATCTGACTTTCCGACTCCTTGCTTGGGGTTGGTTGGTCAGCTTCTTTATCATGCCTGAAGTTGCTGCGCGATATATTTTGTCCTCAGCTAAGGTTGGTTTGGTGCACTTTACTTTTGTGAATGCGGGGATGCCTGACGTGATTTATGTTGGCAGTTCGGGAATTATCCGTGGTATCGGCACGTCTGTGCTGTAGGCGGAGTCGGAAATATATTGATGATGCTGGGTGCAAACCTCGTTGGCTTCGTCATTGGAGTCGATGGGATACAATATATGGTCAGGCAGCTATTTGGGACTATAGAAGGTCGGTCAAAATTTGACATGCCCATTATTCAGCAAGCTATATGCTGAGAACTGTAATTTGCTTAAGGACTACAATTTTTATTCGTCGCGTGCGCATGCATTTTCGTGGGTGTTCAAGTTATGTTTGAATATAGGTAAGTTATTGTCACCTCGGTGATTTTGCCTTCACTGAACATGAATTGCGAATTATAAATTATAATGCAGAGAGGAAGAGATGCGGAATGGGATCTACCGGAAGTGCTAACGATACTCTTTATCCCATGGCCATCGGTTGTTCGCACATATAAATGGCACATTGCTTTCGTGACCTATTAGTTGCACCATGTGCAAAAAAAAAATGCATTAATATACATATCAATTATGAAATGTTGACAAAAGCATGAATTTAGCAGCTTTTTTTAAATCCAAATTAGCTGAGAGTTAGTTGTGTGAGCTGTGACAAACTCCGCACAGGTAGGTGTAATCGAATTCACGAAATTTGTGTGCGACATCTTTGACAAACACCATCTGTGCTCGGACGCAGCAAGAACGTATAGAAAGATTCGAGAGTTGTGCACTTCCTTTCCTTGCACTCATTATGAGTATGTTGAAATTTTCAGTTCAAATATACAATATTCATATATTAGAGTAGTAATATGAAAAGAGTGAAGCTAGAACGAATTAAAGATTCGAATCAAGAGAAAATGACTGTCCGACTATGCAGAGTATTCGAAAAAATCCGATTCCTTCACGTTGAGCTCCTTGATTTTCATGACGGGAAAAGAATCAGTAAAGAAAGGGGCGAGAATCGTTGAAATGCCTCACATTACCTAGCCAGGGCGTTAGGCATTGTCCTTGTGAGGGACTCGGCTCGGTGGCGGAGGTGGAGGTGTAGTCGTTGAAGGCGGGGGTGGATCCTGAGCATCACGCTTCCCGTGCGGCGGATGAGGCGTGGTCGTTGGAGGAGGCGGGGGCGGGTCCTGCGCATCACGCTTCCCGTGCGGCGGATGAGGCGTGGTCGTTGGAGGAGGCGGGGGCGGGTCCTGCGCATCACGCTTTCCGTGTGGTGGAGGCGAGGTCACTGGCGGCGGTGGGGGAGGATCCTGGACATCACGCTTCCCGTGAGGCGGCTGTGGAGGCTTCGAAGTCACTGGTGGTGGTGGAGCTTGCTCATCACGCTTTCCGTGAGGCGACGGAGATGTTGTAACCGGAGGAGGCGGGGCAGGCGTGGTGGTCACCGGAGGCGGGCGAGGATCCTGGGCATCACGCTTCCCGTGAGGAGCAGGCGGAACCTTCGAAGTCACCGGGGGCGGAGGTGGAGCTTGCTTATCGCGTTTTCCGTGAGGTGGTGGAGGCGTTGTCGCCGGAGGGGGCGGGGGAGGATCCTGGGTATCACGCTTTCCGTGAGGAGGTAGATGCGTGGTTACCGGTGGAGGCGGCGGAGCTGCATCTGTCGCGAGAGCATGTCCATCTCGCGGTACCTAAACAACATTGAGTATATCTTGCTCTGTCCCTCACTATCTATACTCACCGGTACAGCAGTAGCAGCGGCGATGACAGCCAGAAGGACGAGTTGCTTCAAAAGCATATTTATCGAAAACTTGAATGTGCGGTTGGTAGAGAAGTTAAGACTGCAGAAGATTGTTGCTCTGTATCGTCGCTCGTACTCTGGCTTTTATACCTTTTCCTCACTAACCATATGTATTGCTTAATCTAAAAACAAAAGACTGCGACGCCGAAATACTTACTGCGGACCGCCGTCCAGTTCAGCCGTTCATGCGCGGATACAATTTTTTATTCCACCGTCCTCCGAAGCGGTGCAACTCGAAGTTCATCTTTGTTCAATTTGAGGATTAAAACAAACGACCACATATATTGGAATGGAGGTCCACCAAGTCCAGCTTCATCCATTCCAGGTATTGCAGATCGTAGTCAGAACAAATCAGCAATTATGCATAACGAAAACATTACAGAGTAGTCGATAGTATCACAGTATCACTGCCTCTGAAGCATTGTACCAGAAATCATCCGTGCATTCCTCGTCGGCACCGACATGAAGCAACGGAGCAACGGCGTCCTGAGGCTGCGGCGAAGGATAAACATAACTCGTCAAAGTAGACCAAAAACATATGTACCACACTGCCGACGTGTAAAAAGGCGCTAGAAGCGCTATGATCGACATCGAGGATGCTGTGGTTAGGGAAACGCGTTAATGTCGGACACGGAGGATAGAAGCAACGAGGTAGAGGCGCTGGCCGCCGCAGTTGGATGTGCTCTACTAGACAAGGTAGATCTGAAAATACATTCCGGAAATTCGACATTTGGTCACCAAAATGACGTTGAATTGCAGAGTCGTTAATGTTGGTATCAAATATATTTGAAAAAAAGGGTGAGTGAGACCTAATGTTTTCCCTTTCAGATTCGACCACAAACACATGGATAGCAACGGAGCGCAGCCTGACGAGGGAATCTGCAAGAAGCACGAATCCAGTTGCCCGGATGGTTGAATAGAAACTAAGAACAATTACTCTCCGAGAAGTCCGCACCAAGACAAGGACAAAAGTTTTTTTGGCCGCGCACAGTCATTCACCCTCCACAGATACGAAGGCAATGCATTTATAGACGCAATTAGACTTGAAGAAGTATGGGGAAGCACTAAAAGACGTAGGGTCTGGCGCGGTCACCGTCACCAAAACCGCCATCCGCAGCGCGGCTGTCCACGGATGAAATTCCCACGGTTACCGCAGATACTCGGTTGCAGCATCAATCCTCAACACCATCCGTACAGTTATCAGTATATAAATTCAAGTCTGTTGTTCTATGGTGTTGCACATAAGATTTGTAGTCCAAGCCAGCTATTCAGGACTGAAATAGCCAAACTTACTTTGAAAAGAATAATAATTTAACATGAAACAAGTATTTTATTTGTAGATAGAATAATAAAGTAGTGTGAACAATTTACTCACAGACATAGAACAGTTTTATAATCCTTATCTGTGTCTGATAATACAAGACTAAGGTGGAACAAGCAGTGGCTAGAACTTAGAAGGTGTATATACCTCTGCTCTATTAGGAATCCAGTCTGAATCAAAAGAGGGGAAACTATCACCAAGTGATACTACATATGTACTCTCATACCTTGATAGGGTGCCTTCTCTATCATAAAATCTATGTATCTCAAACCATTACTTTGTTCAAGGATACTATAAGGCAGCATACAACTACACCTTATACTATTTAGCCTTTAGGCTTTCATTCTCTATCATATTTTCATTAGGTCTGTATAGAGTGAGTACTCTCAAGATACTTTTTATCCTCATCTTACAGTAATTACAGCTTTGCTAAATTATACAAATTGTCAAAATCAATACCTTGATTAGTATGGATATTTAATATGAGGGTCCTATTTACTAATGAGTACAATTCTGAATTTCAACTTGTAAGTTAATCACCCTTACTAGTATAGTAATAGTACCAGTTCTAGGAGAAAAAGGATGATTGAACTTGGTCCTATTACTGTAACACAAAGTGGATAACATTCAGAATGAACAGTACACAGAACAGACAGTCTATTACTATAATGTGTTATGGTTCTCTACTCTTGTACCTTCAGTTCTAAGGGTTCTACACTCTTCTGTACTAGAACTCAGGACTTCTATCCCTCAGAGGCACTGTCTATAGACTATATGTGTGCTGACTCTTACTACTACCCCTCCTTACTTCATTATTCCATTCCTTTGACTACCCTTTCATTCTTTGTTCATTCTATAGTCTCTTACCCTTTGTCCATCCCTTCATTCTTTGTACCTTTATCTTTAACCTTCCTTTCTTTCATTCTTTATAGTTTATCATTCTTAGTAGCTCATACTCCCTGAGTACTCTTGTATAGTTTAGTATATATAGGTGTACAAGATCAGACTAGTCCTATAGTCTTGATCTTGTCTACTCTAGGTAGTCCTGTACTCTTAGGCTTACTCTATATACTCTACTCTTGTCTTACTCTTTCTCTCTGTCTGTTCTACAAGTTCTGACTATGTTCTAGTACTCACATTCTGTATTTCTGTTGTGTAGGATAGTTATAGCCTGGGTCCCCTTACTAAGCCTTTAGGTCCCCTCTACACTGTTACTGACATCAGATTAAGACTATCTATTACCACCCTACAACTCTCCTACATTTCAGGCATTAGTACTCACTATTGTGTCAATCTCTTTTCTTTGTCCTAACCCTTTTACATTTTTAAATTTTAAACTTTCTAAACCCTTTTAAACTTTTGCCACCCTTCTTCTATTTATTACCCCTTTTAGTTTAGTACTAATTCCTTTATAGTGTAAACATAAACCCTCCTATACTGACTGTCACTCTTACTGTTCTATCAGATTAGTAGTTGTAAGCAGACCTAGCTTAATATGTGTAGACCTTTATCTAAGAGGCTTTTACCAACTATGTACCTCTAACCCTCTTAGAACCTGTTCTGATTACTCTAGAAGTCACAACCTGTTTTAGAAAGAAAGTGTATATAGCCTACCCTTCAGACTTTAATAAGTAGTACTTTAAGGACTTCTAATACTAAGTTGAACTATACATAGTTACTACTTTAACTAATCTATTCTTAGATCTTAATTGTATCCTATTTGTCCTCTCCTTCATGAAGGAAGGTAACACAGCCACCTAGGCCCAGAACTGGATCAAAGGCTATTAGATTAGAAGTCTGATCTGACTTTAGAACAATAAGTTGTATTTAGAATTTATAAGGTAGCTCTGTACTTCCTTTATTAATCTAAATAAGAAGTGTAATACACAGAACAAGCTTGTGTCTCTATAATAGAGCAAACATTCTACTAATACCTTCTTTTAGGAGTTTAATATCCTAGTCTAGAAGGTAGGATTTGTACTCAGGTTTAATAATGTCCTTATTAGAATACTTGAAAAAGCTCTTTACTCAGAACTAGTTAATAAGATTCTTAGAATAATACTAGAACTGATTACTTACACTGAGTAGAAGACATACACTATTTCCTTCAACTAAGCTATAGCTTAGATGTGTCAAGTCTGTGTAGAATACTTACACATGTGTCTAGCTCTAACAGTTCTAAGCCCTTAAATCAATCTGCCTGTAATTCACAATCAATCTGTTCTGATAGACATTAGAGAAGCCTAAAAGTAAGGAGTATACTTTGTCTACAGAAAGTCAGAGTACTAAATTAAGGACTGTCTACAGAAGTAACAGTATATCTGTCAGATCATTAGAGTAATAATGAGTAATAAGTAGGATTTGTAGTAAGAAGCCTTTTCTACAAATCCAAAAGTTACTTTAGAACTCTCAGACTCTAACTATATACTCTAGGATTTTATAGAGGCCTAACAGTGAATGTAACACTGAAGAGCTATGACTCAGATTTTTTAACAACTACTTTTGATTCAATAGACACTATAAGATTAGAAGTAAATAAAGTAAGAAAAGTAGAAAAAGTAGAAAAAGTAAATTAACAAAATTATTTATTAGAAAGAAAAAAGTTGAAAATAAAAGTAGATAGTTCTCTTATTTCTTCTGATTCTTTTGATTCTTCTCTTTACACTTTATCTGAGTCTAAATCTGTACAATCCAACCTACTACTTCTACATTCTAAGATCTTAGAATGTTCAGAATACTACCCAACCCTATTTACTACTTAGTAGTTTGTTTGTAGTATCAAGTAGGAATAGCCTCAGTTGAGTTTACAGTTAAGGACATGAGTCTGTCCTTGTTGAAAGAGAGAGGTTAATAAGGAAATGTTAGTGTATATACTTACTCTCTTAAATAATAAGACTGTATAAGCTGTACATTCTCTTTAGAACAAGTAGTAGTTTATTAGAGAATGTTCTAAACACTAGCTCTAGGTCCCTATCCTCTTAGCTCTCTTCTCAGGATCCTCTCAGATCTGAACAATAGCTCTAGTAGACAGTAAATACACTAGTTTGTATATTAACAAGGCTTTTGTATAAGAACACTACCTCCTTACTCAATGTGTTCTACTTTCAATCTTAGTATATAATATAGACAGAACCCTGAACCAGAATGGTCAGATTACTGAGTTTGTCCAACTATGGATAACTATTCAGAATTATAAGGAAAGTATTGAGTTTAGAGTTACTAACCTTAGAAAGACAGATGTCTTTATTAGATTTGAATAGCTTAAGACTTACAACCCTACTATTAACTAGTTAGAGTAGACACTTGTGTTTGATCAGTGTTCTGAGTCTTGTAACTATCTTACACTACTGTCCTAAGTGAATGTGAACACTTCTAATGTTACTAACAGTTCTGATAAAGGTGACCAGTTGTTCTTTTTTGACTAGGATGAATATGTGAACACATATTCTAGTTAAGACAGAACAGAGTTGATCTGAAGAATGTTTGAGACAGAACTAGTCTAGAACCCTCTTAGAACAACTCTACTCTAGAACACACATAAACCTAGCCTACTAGATTTTGTCTGAGAGTTCCTCAAAGTCTTTAGTAAAGAGGAATTCAACTAGCTTCCTAAACACTATCTCTAGAACTATACAATTGAATTGACTAAGAGTTTCTAACCTAAGGATTATAAGGT